TTCATATGACACAACATTAGTACCTAAAGCTATACACATGATTTGGTGACATTCTGTAGCAACAGTACTGGAAAGAAATGATGGTTCTAATCTGGTAGCGTGATAGTTCCATTTCAAACGCCTTGTATTTAATGATAATGATATTTCTTAGCAAATCTCACAGTACTGTATTCTAAAGCAAGTCTTTTTCTTTCAAATGACAAAAATCGTTTGACAAAATATAATTAAACACGCCAACGCGAATTTTGCGCAGACGATATTTGAGGTAGCGGGAAACTTTCGTTAAAACCCGATATTATGCTTTTTTATTATTACTAAGATATTTCAAATTAAAACAGGAACTTCCATAACTTTTTATAAATACCAACATATCCATCTTATGGGAAAATCCATTGTAGAGACATTAGGTATTTTTTTGGAAGCAGGAGACTTGAAAAATGAGCAACGCCTTTGCCGGGAATCGAACCACTGACCTCTGGAATACGCGTCCAGCGTGCAGACCACCACATCACGAAGGCAAGCTTTATTTTATATAAAACATTCTATTTTATAAAAAAAATTAATTTCACTCCATTATAAAAAAAATAATTATATAAGAAAAAATTATAAGGTGAGATTCTTCAAAGTTTATATTCACTTCATTTTTAAAATAATCAGAAAATTCTTAGAATTCAAATTTGTGAACACCAATCTCATTGTTACAAATAATCCAAAAATCGAAAATATTAGTTCAAAGGTATTTAAACAATAATCCAAGAATATAATAATCATGTTAATAACCTTCTCTAAATAAAATCTTAAAATGCTTAACCAAATTAACAGAATTCAAATTTCTAACACCATATATTTTTTAATAAAAAAAATGTCATTTTTTTAATCCAATCCAGTATAAAAAGAAACAGTGGTTTCAGTCTGGTACCATATTTTTAAATCCATAGCACTAAAATTAAAAGTAGATGAGTAAACCTTGCAAGAAAAATCATTCACATCTTTCAACTCAACGTGGAAAAGAAATCATATTTTGAATTTTTATTCAATGAAGAAAATTTGCTAGCGCATTATTTATACGGTGCAATAGCTATAGTAATAAATTATTTATAGGAAGCTAGTAATTGATAAGCGCTAGACTTGCGTAATTAAAATAAACAATACACATTAATTCACTTGCATTACGCAAGATTAATTTTCGAAAAATGGATGTCCTCTCACATTCAATATTTACATTTGTTTTAGAATTTTTTCTAAAGCATAACACTTTATGCTTACAAGAAATGTGGTAACCTACAATGATTTTGCAGATAGAAATACTTTTCAATGGCATACTTTTTAATCGTTAGCCTTGATTCCGGAATCAACGCATTTCGCTGGCATCAAGTCACTTTTTTCTTGTTTTGATTTTGGATTCTGTAGGTTCTTTGTGGAGTCATTAGTTTATTTTGAAGCAGGAGATGAGGAAAATGTGCAAACCCGTCGCATGAACTTTCACCTGAAGTTCTCGAATACGCGTCGAGTCCACGAAGGCATGCTGGAAGGAGGGGAAAAATACCTTATATACTCCACCTTTTAAAAGGCGACTGGGGATTAAGGGACCCGTTCGCCAAATCCTGATAGTGACGAATTATCGACCACCAACTTTTAGTTCGGGCGCCACAGTAGAGTTTATCAGGTTTTTTGGACGCAGGAGAAGTGAAAAATGAGCAATGTCCTCGCCTGGACTCGAACCCTCTCAAAAACGGACCGAGTCTGCTACCGTTACACTAGGAACGCATGCCAGAAAGAGGGAGAAAATACCTTATATCTTTATCCACTACAATGATTTTGCAGATAGAAATACTTTTCGGCAGACATTCATTTTCTGATGACTTGAAGATGATTTATTTCGTTGTAGATAACTTGATTTTAGATAATTAGGGAAGGCAACAATTCACTTTTAAATCATGGCTGAAAAATCTGCTGTGTACATTACTAACAACTGCAGTGTAGTGGACGGCCGGATGAAAGTTTGGAACCATGAGGAGCTTCGTAGTTAAGTATCGTTTATTTATGGATGACGAATCTCTTAGCTTCTTAATTGGCAGAACATTAGGGGTCCTAAATGCGCCTCACACTTTTAGGTATGCAATTACATCTTACGTAAAGGAGAACAAACTAGCTAAGTGATCCGTTTCCAGCAGGAAGGTGAAGTGGGGAAAGAGGATGCGCAATCAGTTGCGGTAATATTTATAAGCTCGGAACGCTTTGTTTTAATTCTGAGGCGCGATTGGGCAAAAGATTTCGCATTGCGGTTATTGTACTAAAAGCGTAATGTAACATGGTGCAATATGGAGCCTTGAAAACGGGCGTATGTAGTTAGAATTAAGAATTTATAGAACCGCTCCAATTAAGCTAAATTTGATAATAAATTTTTCTTCATATTTTTATATCTTTCATACATGTATATACGTCAAGGGAAAAATTAGATCATAAAAAGTTGGTGACCCTCTAATAGGAAATACACATATCAAAATTTAAAAAGAAGAAAAATTTTTAAAATTGAAAACAAAAATAATTGAAAAAAATTAATGAAGCTGATAAAAAAAATGTTGAGAAATCCCTTCGTTTTTCAAGAATCAAACAATTTTCAACAAAGCCCTTTCCTGAACTATATCTAGATGATTGCTAATAATGGAAACATTAACAAACGTTAAAGTAATTAATTGTTTTATATTTAATAAATATTAAAAGAAAATACCAATTAAGGTAATTCAGTTAATTTAAAATAGTCAATATGCTTTAAAAAAACGCGACTGCACGATTTTAATAATATATAAAAATCTTAGTTTAAATTTGTCAACTTTTGATTATATATATATTCATATATATAGAGAGAGATATAGATATAGATATATAGTGAGATATTTGATTTTATATATCTATATATATTATATTATAGATCCTTTGAATGAGAAAAAATGTAAAATCTTCTGCCGAATAGCTTAATCTGAAAACTGATCAAGTACGAAAGAATAAATCAAAGAACTTATATTTTGTGCAATGGCAATACTTGCTTAGACGAATGGATGATAAATGCGTGGTAACGTGAAGTAATGTAACAGTCCAAAACGTTTGAGAAAAACCAGCGCTTATGTAGTTATTATTTAAATCAACATTGTCATTGCCAATATTTAATGGTAAATGATATAATATACCTAATATAAATAAATTATAAACGATAGAAAAAACAAGTTGGTCCGTATCTAATGTTTCAGCCTTAATTTTTATAGACCATTTGCGCTGAAACATAAAATAACGTACTAAAAGTAATAGAAGCGAGTTAACGAAATGAAAGATAATAAAAGTCGGCACAGGAATTGAATGGGAATCTTCTCACTGTATTGTTTTGCTTTTTTCTCGTAAGTGACTAGTTCGTACTCTCGCATTCGGTAATCAAGTAGGACTTTTCAATAACCGCTCTATTTTTTCTTCCGAGAATAAAATTTTGAAGTATTTTAGTTTCCTGATTAAAATTGAATTACGAAGCATTGAAAATGCTCAAATCGAATATTAAACCCGACGACAGTCTTAAAATAATATACTTATAATGAAAATCACGAATTCAGACATCTCTTTATGAAATACATGGCTTTCAAAATCTAAAGTTTTATTGAAGTTACCTAATATATGACATTAGGAACATCTCTCATTAATGGCAACTATACTGCAAAGGTTCCTATTTATCAAGTAGATGCATTACAAATTAAATATATTTGAATCTATATCAGAAAGAATTTGCTTAGAAAATACCGAATTTTTAAGAAATGCTTTTATTGTTTTTGAATGGTCCGCCTGTTAACATAAAATTTATCATTTAATTTCCAAATTAGTACTTAGTCATTAGTACTTAGTCAAAGTTAAATAGCCTCTGTTTCGAAAGGCAGCACTCTGGAAGCTAACTATTTGAAAAGGTGCGTTTAATACAAACTAATGATATTGCGTTTTGCGAATGGTAATATTTGCCACATCGCAAGAATAATAAATGAATGGTAACGCAACGTAACGGTCTTTTATACAGCTTGAAAAGACTTTGCTAAATATGTCTTAAAAAATGTGCACTTTTATTGACTGTGTAGGTGTATTAATTTTATTTTGAAGCAGAAGTGAAAAATATGCAATAACCTGGACCTGTCGCATACGCGCCGAGTGTGTTACCGTTACACCGCGAAGGCATGCTAGAAAGAGAAAGAAAATATTATACATGCACTCCCTTTTTAAATGGTGACTGAGGATTAGGGAACCCAATCGCCAGACCCTGGTGGTGACGAATTATCGTCCCTAATTCCCATGTTCATGTCCCCCATCTTTTAGTTCGAGCGCCACTGTAGAGTTTTAAGTTATATCTGAAGCAGGAGAAATGAAAAATGTGAAATGCCCTCACCGAAACTCGAACTTGGATCTCTCGAGTGCTCTCCGAGTGTGCTACCGTTATACTACGAAGACATGTTAGAAGACAGGAGAAAATATTTTATAACTGGTATCCACTGTCCCACCGACGGCCGAGCGATAAAATCGCTGAATGCTGATAGTCTGATGTGGGTTCGATTCCAGGCGAACGGGATGGGTGCGTGGGCGCTTCCATATATGTAGTGTATATACGCGCCAATTTCTTTTAAAAAGCCCTTCTCGAAGGCATCGCTGCTCTTAGGCAGATAGTCCTAGCGTGCTTCGTCATAAACAGATAAACCAAAACTTATTTAATATTAGTCTTACAAATTTAAAAGTAAAGAAGTTACATAAACGGACCATAAATCTATATACTAAGCCTATACTTTTGCTGATAGTATAAATAAATATCTTTACGGATCGAAAATGCTTTAATATTAACTGTGACTCCCATCTTCCGTAAATAAATTGCTGAAATGAGTTTGAGTAATCTTCTAAAACCATTTTGAAGACTACAGACCATAATACTATAAACAGAAAAACTGCTTTGAGGACTTTTAAGAACAAACAGAACAACTTACCTTCTTTTTGTTCTTCAAGATAACTTCGTCTCTGGGAGCTTTAATGAATCCTCCGTTACCTCTAAGTCTCAGAGCCATTCTTCCATAGGCGAAACTTATGAGACACAAAGGAAGAGCGTATTGGAGGGTGGCCAGAAGGTAATTATATATTCCCCACACTGTGGGCGATATACGAGTGTTTGTACAGAAAGGTCTGGTGTAGTCACCGGTCTCTGGATTAAAAACAGACGTCACACGGAAAGCTGCTACGTATGGAGCAGCTGCTATGGCTCCTACCAGCCATATACCTAGAATAGTTAGTTTGGCACTAAGTTTGGAAGTTCCTCTTCTTTTCAACGGGTGAAGCACAGCTCTGTATCTGTCAAAAGCAATGGCTGTGAGAGTGAAAACACTTACGTTGACAGACAGTACTTGCACGAAAGGACAGAATGCACACAGGAATGCTGGTAAGAGCCATTTCTGAAGTAAAGCAGCCTGAAATTGGAAAGGAACAGCGAAGAGTCCGATGACGATGTCCGCAAGGGCCAAGTTGCTGATGAAGTAGTTGGTGACTGTTCTCATCCTTCTGCGAGAGGCTACAACCCACAGCACGCAGGCATTACCGATCACCGCCACCAGAGACACAGCACCGTAGCAGACGGACAAGAATGCAACAATCCCAACGGGTACTTCGAATATTTCGATGAATTCCTCGTGGCGGTGGACACTCCCGTTAGTTATGGAATAGTCGATAGTGGACAGTATGGAAGAATTCAGGTTTGGGAAAGACGAGACTGGAGAATTCTCCGTCCCTAAGTTAACATCGGTAACTGAGATCATGTGGAAAATGATGCACAATTCTGTTAATGATATGAAAATCCTTTAAATTATCAGGAGCATCGAGAAGTTTTAATGAATATCGGCTGTGTAACTTTTCTGTTATATGTTAAATAAAAAGATTACATTAAACACTAATTTTCTGCAATTTATATTTGCTCTAGGTGCTATATAACGCTTCAGTTAAAAGTATGCTTCTTATTTAAGTCATGTGTCCAAACTTGCAAGCAACTTTAATGTGTTTAAGAAAGCGGTAAAAAAGCTTAATTTTGGTACAAGTATCAAACGTTAATTAAGATCTATCTGTTGTAAAATACATTTGAAATAAATTAACCTTATTCATCAATTAGTTTAAGTAAAGGCAATTACTTTTCATTCATGGAAACCAAACGCAGACATACTACTTTCTGACAAGGCATATAAAAACAAGATATTTTCCAGTCTATAAGATTTTTTCGTAAGAAAAATTAAGTTTATTTTTTCTTGCTCTGTAAAGTATTCGCAAGACCTATCATGCAATCATTAATAGCATATGTTCTACACTCGAAATTCTTCACAAGAATTTTTTTCGTAAATTTTTTAATGCAGTAAATGTGTTTAATCGAAAACAGTACAAAATGTGTTCCTGCTATACATGGATCGCGCAAATGAAATATAATTTCATAAATTGTTTCCCGAAGTTACTTTTCACAGTAGCTTCAAAATGAAAGAGTCATTCTTAGCAGCAAGCAGAAAAGTAAGAATGAATTTTAATGAAATAGTTTTAAAGAAGCTGAAAATTTATAAAATCATGCAGTTTGCAAAATCAGAATCACTGTAAAATAAAAATACTGTTGGGATGAAAATTCAACATGATTTCAAAAGAAACAGGCAAACATTACGCAAAACTAAATATTAAAATACTTGTATTCTACTCTAATATCGAATTTAGATATCCCGCAATTTTACATTATTCACTTTTTAAATCTTTGACTTTAAATTAGCTCATGACCTCTTGCATTAAAAGTCATCACGATCTCATAATTATCAATGTTGACGATCAGTGCAAACTCGAAATAATAATCGATTTAAACCACTGTGGGTATAAAGGAACTTGCCAAAATTAATGTTTCCATTTTCGTTTGATACTAGAAAGTTATTCTGCAAGTTTCAATAACTCCGTAAAATCCAAGAAAACAGCGGATATTTCTCTCCGGAGAAATCAATCCTTCGAAAGCATCACCTTCGCAATTCTACTGGATGCCGGAGCAGATCAAATCGACCACTCTCCTGTTAGCCGGATAGCCGGATAGATGGTGATGCCTGTTGAACGGTATGGTCCCATTCACAAATCCAACGAGACAGAGGGCGCTCTTTTCACAAAATGTTGAGTTGAAGAGTTCAGAAATATTTTTGGATTTCTTGGAAGGAAGTATTAAAAGAGATCTCAGCTTAAACTATTATTTGGCTATGCGCGCATGTGACAGTAAACGAAAATAGCAGTTTAGTGCTTCATAAAAGTTTAGAAAATAGTCATCAGATATGTTATTTTTAGAGGGAAACTCATTTTTTCGCTTGCTTTAGTTATGCGATAAAACCTGATGAATGGGTATCGTTAGTGAAATTTTTTATTGACTATTCTTGAATATTAAATGTTTTTCTTAAAACTATCTCACTGCTTAGTAATTATAACTTGAAAGTTAAACAGTAATAGTGAAAATTAAATAGGGGAATATGCATAAATAAGATCACTAATAATGGCGGTAATTATTCAACCATCAAACGACATGCAGCTTTAAAAAATTTACCGTTTGAAGTAACATAGCGTCTTTCGCTGTTTTCTATACAAATAAAATTTTAAATTACTTAAGCAGAAATTTAAAAGCAATGTAATTTTAAAACAATTCAAGATGCTATTGATCTTATAATGCAATAAAATCATCTTTATCATAAATAGTATAAGATATTTTCTCCCTCCTTTCTGCATGCCGTCGTGGTGTAGCGGTAGCAAACTCGACGCGTATTCGAGAGCTCCAGGTTAGAGTCCCAACAATGACACTGCACATTTTTCAGATCCCGTGTTTCAAAATACTACCATGGCGCCCGAACTAAAAGACGGTGGATGATGATTCTTCACCAACAATATTTGGCATTTGGGTCCCCTAATCCTCAGTCGCTCTTTAAAAGGGGGTATATAAGGTATTTTCTCGCTCCTCTCTGCATACTTTCGTGATGTAATGGTGGTACACTCCGCGGGTATACGAGACGTCAACGCTCGAATCCCGGCGAGGCGATTGCAATAGAATATTGTTCCCTGTCGAAGATGCAGAAGATCTTTCTATATTACAAAAGTGAGTTATTCGATACAGCCGAGTATTATAATTTTAAAATTCATTTTATGAATTTTCTTCACATTTTTACATCTGGTATTTTATACCATGAGCATCTGCTCATGCCATATTTTAACACGTTATGTGAATCGGCTAAAAAGAAAGTTCTTAGTTTCTATGTATACTACAGTCTGTAGAGACATTAGGTATTTTGGAAGCAGGAGAAATGAAAAATTAGCAACACCTTCGCCGGGAATCGAACCGCGGACCTCTGGAATACGCGCCCAACGTGCAGAACACCACCCCAGGAAGGCATGCCAAGAAGGCGGGAGAAATACATTATAAGTCTACATAAAAAAAATCGAAAAGTTTTATTAAAATTTTGCTGTGACAGAATTCAAGGCCTTTATTTCATTCTTCTTTTTAAAAAAATCTCTTTCAAATAGAAATATTTTTTAACATTATTGGAGGAGTTCAAGCAACAAAAATCAGGGTAATACTCATAAATATGCAGGACTGTTTTCCAAGGTTTAAGTATAGAACCTTCTTCTTCAGTCGCAGAAGTACAAATGGATGTCCTGCAAATTGTACATTTGTATATATTCAGCGTGATTTTAAGCGTGATCCTTGTGTATTCAGCGTGTTATTTTAACTCAAATTCTTTTGAAGAGTTGGAGATTTTTCCGCTTATATTATCTTATGTTAAAAAAAGGACAGAAACAGTTAGATCCTTTAAAATTGAATTTTTTTAATATTAATGAGAAAATAAAGCTGGAAAAATTTAAATCTTTAATACTGAATTTATTTGAATTAAGTCAAATTATTCCCTGTTTTCAATTAAAGATTTACTTTCATGGGTGGCAACAATAAGTGAAGATTTTAACAAGAAAAAAACAAAATATCTCTGTAAATTTTTACATGATATCCTTTCCTACCTACTTCATACCTTTTAGAGATAGTAACAAACAAGAAGCTGAACGAATTTAATTTAGAAATTATGCTAGTATCATTATCATTTCATTATATTAATTTCATTTCTAGCTTTGTCATATTAGCGTTTAATCAATTGCTATTAAAAGGAAATTTTGATATGAATAGCATGCATTCCTGAACATCTGAAAGAGGTTTACAAATTTCTTTTGTAGAAAGTTCATCAGATGAAAAACGAATAAGGAGCCTCCAAAATTAATCAAAGAATAGAACATTTTAAATAAAATAAAATTCAAGACTTTGTTTAATTTCTTACTAGGAAAAAACAATAGCATCAAATTTTAAATAACTATGTAATTTTTCACAAAGCAATGGCTTTTAACCGTAAAATATTGTGATAAAATGTTTTATTAAAGAAAAAGCTAGCATCAACTTCAAAACTTATTGTAAAATGAAACAAAGTATTAAGAACAACGCGATAAAATAACCTTATAAAAATTCCATTCCGACGAAATGGCGTTAAAATAAATTAATAGAATGCCTACACCATACATTTAATTGAATATTTCGTAACTGCATAATTTCTCCTAATCATAGAAAGTTTCTTTGCTTTTTAATAAAAACTACACTATAGGCAAAGCATATCATTTGTTAAAACTGCATTGTGTGTGTACCAAAGCTTTTACTAATTTCGAATTAAACGTGTTCTACTTTCTCGCCATCGAAGTTTTACTAGCGAGAAAATTGTCTCGTTGTTTGCTTTCTAAGGAGAAATTCAAAAATAAAATTCAGATATTTCAAGTAGCTCCGAAATAACTTGTACATGAAACAAAGGAAACAGCAGAAAAAAAAGGAGTCATTTAAAGGGGAACAAGGGAAACTTATTTCTCAGCTCGGGAAAAAAAGCAAATCTTCTATTTGAATTCCATATAGTAACTTTGTTCTGATGATGGGTGTATGAAAAATTATTTTTCTACGTAGCTTAACATTCTCTTCCGTGTCAAAACGTATATCTTTAAAAAAATTCATCAATCTTCAAAATAACCGATCTATTTTATTAACATTGATAGCAGTATCACATTTATCGTAGTTGCGGCGTATTAGACGCAATTTTTTCTTTGAAAATAGGTCTGAAAAACTGTGCGTCTTATACGTCGATACTCAGTTTATTCGGAGTTACACGATATTTTTTTCTTGTGTCCTTGCGGAGCTTTCTTGTGAATGCGTCTGATCTTCATAGCATGCTGTGAAAACAAAAAAGCAGTGGTTACATCATTTAAGAAATGTGGCATTAGTGATGCACTGGATGGTACAGAGGGCAATTTTTTGTATGAGGATTCGGACGCTGATTTAGAAGAGGTTTCAAGTGACTGTACTGTTTATTTAGCTCTGGACATGAGTGTCTGGATTTTGACGAAGAGGATTAAAAATTGTTCTTTCCCAGATAGAATGGATATTTACATAAAGCATTACTTTATATTTGTATTACTTTATATTTAAAATACTGTAAATTCATTTCAATAATCTGTAATAAAGATTTTATGTGTATGAGAAAGGGGATGCGTCTTATACCGGTGCGTCTTAAACGCCGGCAAATATGGTAATCGCAGTCGCAGTCGTTTTCAAGAAACTTTGGAGCATTAAATTTTTAAGCAATAGTTAATGCTAGCCCGGTCCTCAAAAAAGCTTAATTTAAGATATGGAATTTCTGAAGTAATATATCCGCGATTGTATTTTATAAATCGACGTGGCTTTCCTTCAAGTTAACAAGACTACTCAGTTGTAATCAAATAAAACTATTCCTGTTTACTGTACTTGCTTTCAACGCAAGGGACATTAATTCTGTAGCTAAATATCATCTGAACAGAAACTTCCAGGGGGGAAGCTTCACTGTGATATCGATTTATACATTCTTCACAGTCATGTGAATTTCCATGGAGGTTTTAGATTTAGCGCTGATTCTAAGTAGAAAGGCTGAAATGGAAAACACCTACCTCCATTCGGAGAGCCTTAAATGTAGTTGTTCATAGAAAAGAATTAAAAGGGGTTATATCTGGGGATCTCGGTGGCCAAAAAAGCAATACCCTATCGTTTGACCCACCATAGCCAATCCACCGATAGTGTTGACTATCATTCAGATACCGGCGTACGTTTTTATGCAATGTTGTGGAGCACCATCTTGCTGCAGAATAAAGCTAGGAGCCGCTTCTTCCAACTGAGGAAACAGCCACTCTGATAGCATATCTTGGCAAAT